TATCCCACCAGCAAGAATTATCAGTGAAAGCCCTTTTAGGTTCCTTTAAGAATGTTTTAAGTTTTGATTAATCCAACTGAATTTATATCACCTACATGAATTCTGATTTCAAGTTTCATGTTAACATAATTAATGAAGATCTGTTATTTTCCCTGAACATCGCAACCATGAACAAATAGATGGCGTTCTGATGAAATATCTTCAAACATAAGATCAAAATCTATAACATTTCTTTAACATAAATTTTAATGTTGATTTTTTTAAAAATAATAGAAATGTCAGACTATGTTAGCATATTCTGATGTCATTATAAGTAAGGCTAACATACATCCTTAATTCTAATCGTCACAAAAGTATGGAGCAATATCTCATTTATTTACAATACAAATGTATTTGTCGCTTGAAATGTCGCTATAAGTCTGTTTTGCTCTATCCAGGCACATGAATCAGTGTCTACATTACAGCACACCTGTACATACTTCTTTTTGCTGTTGTTTTCAAAAGACATTGACAAAATAACCGCTTACAATACCTGTAGTAAATAAGATTTCTGGTGTTTGTCAATCATCCTACATTGATTCAGATAATGATAAGTTATATTTTGCTTCTTGTTGTCACAAAACACTACAATATTGATTAACAAGGAAGTTGCAGAGAAAATAAAGAATTGTGTTTAAGAGAAATATAATGGACAACCTAAGGAAAACCTAGATTGGTGTTTACTATGTGACATTATGACTCAGATGCATACGATGAGTTGTCTAGTACAAACAAGTGTTTATACATGCTGGTAGTGTCATTACTTACAGTAATTCACCCTTATACTTGTTAATAGACAATTTAACTAATATCTGATTTATAATGATGATGATGGGGTCTGCACCAATATGTCAGAGTACACATCCTATTGTGTACTACACAGGGCATCTGTATTATAGTGCATTTCATATTGACATACAATCTTTCTCTAGTATACTGGGAGGAGGAGTCTTAAGTCCTCAACCATGGATGTTACAACTTGGGATATTTTTGTCATTACCCAGCCTCTGATAAATGTTTTAATCATATGAATAATATTTTCAGAATATCAAACGTAAGAATTCAATTTGTAAGTACTCAGTATCTAGATTCACACTAATCTAATTCAGAGGATCACAAGAAATACAAGAATGCTTTCAATTTAAAGTGTTTGATTCTCAAAACTTGTCTTTTGGAAGTTTGTGTTAAAGACCTTTATATATATATATACCTGTATATTAATGGAATGTTTGATAAAGAAAGTATAATAGTTTCACAGAAAACCATCTTGCCAAACAGAAAAATCAGACATCATTGGGCAATCATAAATACAAAAATTAATTCTTTTATCATCACAAAGTTTCAACATTATGTATTAGGGAATGTTTACAGGAAAAATTTACTACATGAGTATTTCCTTCAATTTATTTCATAATGTTCCAACATGGTTTGAAGATATTTTGTTGGATAATCTTTCCTTTCTCACGTCCAAACCTGAATAATTTACCTTAAAACCCATAAGATATACACAATGGCTGTGTTTACATCCTCCTTCATCATTCTATAATTGTCATAATCCAAGGACACTTCAGATGACAGTTTTATTACACAGTTTTACAACTTAAAAGAGGTCAAAATTATGTTTCCTGTTTGCAAACCTTCACATAATACTTATTACCCATAAAGCAAACACACATTTCTGGTTTCTAAAACAGCACACATCATGAATATGAAGATATATCAATTTAATGTCTTGAAACTTTATACTTTGCAATTAAATTTAGATAAAAAACCTAAGTATGCTGATACCAGAGGGTATATCACATTCTCTAGTTGACCTTGTAATGGCGGTCCTCCATTTACACAATAGGGCTGGTATAACCCCGAGTCATTACCAGGTATCATGTTCTGATACCAAACCCTGACTCACATGATCTACAGCAATATAAGTCTGGAATCCTGTTCTTGATTTCTAAAATTTAAGTCAACAAATCAGTTTCTCTAAGAAAGTGTGTTAACCTTAGAGCCAAGGGCTCTCAGGGTATCCTTGATGACATATTGGAAATATAAAGCCAATATTATAATGCCAAACTCATAACATCACATTACATTACAGAGACCACCCATTGCCTCTCAAACCCTACTCCTCCCCCTACCCCGCCCATCTCGAAATACTATTTAAGGCTAGCAATAAAAGGGATTTATCTCCCTTGAGATTCATCAAAATTGAAAATAAAACAAAAAGGAAATTTACTTATGATGTGCACCAAGTTTCAGTAAAACTGGCAAGACAGACATGGAGTTGTATTCCAGACAATCGTCTATCTTTGACAGATGAATGGACAAACAACCTGATTCCAATTATATACCTCAAAAAAATCATTAAAAGGGAAAGTATATCACCTAACTGATTTTGAACTTTTATCTTTGAAATCCAAAGTGTATTATATTTGATATGGAAGTATTCAAATGATTGTGATTTCCAACGTTGATCTGATAAAATTAACACTGTCAGGTTCATACCTGGGGTTTAAAATCACACGTCTCAAGATGTAATCTTACACTTGCTACAGACTTTCATATAGGTTCAACTGAACCACACAGACCTTCAAAGATTTTCTTTTGTTTTGTTGACTTTTAAAATTGGGCAGGAAAATCAATTTTGACCTCAAAGGATCAGTCAAGACAATTAGTTAGAAACTTCAAAGTGGTCTGCGTATTTAAAGGTATGTATTTTCTGTGTACAAGATTTGTCTGAGAATTATATAAAAACACATCAATGATGTTTTTGTTAATCTAACCCTAACATGAAACCATATTAAAAGATTTTTCATATTATACATGTCCATGAAGAGGGTGATTACACTGAATCAGACAGAGGCAATTTGTATGCAAGGTGTTCAAGATGTGTAACAAGTTACAGACATTTAAAATACAACACTTCTTTGGTTTGAGTAAATTTTAAAATTCAAAATCAAAGAAAGCATAACCTATCCCTGGTCTCTGAGAGATTGTACCAAAGCCATATCAATTAGCAAGAATAGTCTGAATATGTCTGACAACTTACATTAATGCCAACGATTTAAAACCTAATTGATCTTAGCCTCTGGCAATAAAATAAAACACCAAATGAAATGACAGTCAACCTGTTTGTAGATATATAATAGGTAGATTGGGCATTTGCGTCCTTTTACATGTAAAATTCTTCAACAGTACCGTTTTCTCTTGACATGAAAACATGACTGACCTTGATGGTTAATTCTAGTTACAAACACATATTGGTAACATTGTAACACTGAACCTACCAGTTTTTCATTAGTAAATCCTGACCTTTGTTGTTGTACTGAACAACAAAATGAAATATAACACACCAAGCGTGTGGCCTATTAAGCATTGGAATCAAAGGAGATATAATTATATTTGTAAAGTCAGGAATGCTCTTTTTTATCATATATGTACATATACCGTATTTATGTGATAATAAGTCCATGCTTGATATTAAGCCGTCCCACATCTTTGTTCTTTTATACCATATATAAATCAACACTATTTCAAGTTTCTTTAATAAGCCCACCCCTTAAAAAGACCAATTTTGCAATTTGGCCTGAGTATACAACAAAACAAGACTTTATGTGGTATAAGTTCTAACCCTAAACATGAAAGGAATTCCGACCCATAACTACATGGTCTAAGCTCCAACTTGTAGCAGTTTATAAAATCACATGTTTATACAAGTAAGAAGGTCTGACACTATAAATAAAATACAAGTTTATCAAAACAATTTCTTATATACATATGGAGTTCCGACCTTATAGCCACACTTCTAGTTCCTACCCCTAGCTGTTCATCAAAACAAATTGTTCATATAGTTATGTATCAAAAATCAAAAAGGAGGTTCAATTCAATAACTAGTGTCTTCAGTGTTCTGACCAGTAGCTGTGTGAGGATGTTGGGACCCTGTAACTACATTGTCTTTAGGGTTCTGACCAGTAGCTGTGTAAGGAGTTGGGGCCCTGTAACTACATTGTCTTTAGGGTTCTGATCCCTGACTGTGTAAGGAGTTAGGACCCTGTAACTACATTGTCTTCAGTGTTCTGACCAGTAGCTGTGTGAGGATGTTAGGACCATGTAACTACATTGTCTTTAGTGTTCTGACCAGTAGCTGTGTAAGGAGTTAGGACCCTGTAACTACATTGTCTTTAGTGTTCTGACCCCTGACTGTGTAAGGAGTTAGGACCCTGTAACTACATTGTCTTTAGTGTTCTGACCCCTAGCTGTGTAAGGAGTTGGGGCCCTGTAACTACATGCTTAGTAAGAGTTATAATTCCTCACAGCATATCAGAAACTACCAGTTAAATGTTGTTTTGCTTGTCCATCTATCAATAAAGTTGTTAGAAGCTTACATAAAAGCCTAACCACTGACATTAATGTCACCATCACTGATCCATGTCTGGAGGGACATAAAAAACATGATTACTATATTAAATTTTTGTACTGATAGATGTGGTCTAGACTGTACCATCCGCCCCTAAGGTGTATAAGTATTTTACAGGTGAAACGGTATTGTCTAATAGTATCCTGCACAGTCAACAACAGGATATCTATATTCATCTGTATCCCTTAGATATTCTATTTATCAAAAAAAAATGTCTTCAGGTTAAAGGTATATAGATTTTGTTCATTAGAGTCTCTCAATACATTATTGGGACATCAAGATGTTGAAATTTCCTAAGAGAGGATAAAAAATTGAGAAATGATACTAGGTTATTTAATTTCCATTTCAACTTTTTTTATTTCCAATACAACTGAAATTTGATGGGATTCTAACACATCTCAGTCACTTTGAAATGTTAATATAAAAATATACTATCTATACACTACAATACTGGTAACATAACAGAAAACTTGACATATTTGTGACTGGATGAAAGATCAGACTTTTATCATAGATAATCAAACTGTTGAAGCTATCTGAGACTTACAGCAAGGACGTCCGGGAAGAGACCATTTTCCTTCGCGTCCTTCTCAATGCCTTCATCATCAGCTGTTGATGCGTCTTCCTCATCCCCGTCTGGATTTGTCATGAACTCCACAAGACCTTCCAATTCGAGGCTGAGGTGACGTTCCTCCGCTGCCCCCATTCCATAATCGAGGGCCTGGTAGATAACAAGTCCGAGTCCCTGTACTGCCTGCCATAGAAACAACATACAAAACAATGACCACAGATCAAAAGGTTTATATTCCTAAACAATACTTTCTGAAATCTATTGTAATACATTTTCCTTTAAACTTATCCCCTGTGATTAATAGGAGAATCTGAAGTACGGTTCTATTAAATTTATCTGTTAATACATCTTTTTGTTTATTTTCACTTAATAGGAGAATCTAAAGTACGGTTCTATTAAATTTATCTGTTAATATATCTTTTTGTTTCTTTTCTCTTTCCATGCCTTGGCTTTATACCAAAACTCACATTAAATTTTGTAACCTTTCAAGCTTTATATTATAAAGCAGTCCTAATTTTTAAAACCTTTTTTGTTTGTATGGAAACAGATAAGCAACTGAGCAAACTTTCTATAAGAAGGCAATAATTAAATATTTTATCTTGACTACAATTACAGAGGACACCTGTGTATGATCAAATTACTTAGCTATATTTCTAGTGTGCCTTCTGAAATGAAACAGATTCTGTTGTTCATACTTCATGTCACCGTAGAAAAAATGGCTAAAGTATATGTGATTCTTTAAGTTTGCATCAAAAAGTGTTTTAAGATACAAACTAGCTCACACGCTTAATTTTAGCTTGCAGATGATACCAAACCATCAAAAGACAATTCTGCATAGATCATTAATTAAAATCCAAAATACAGTGGAACTGGAATAAAGAAGACATCTCTATTCACACCTAAAATTATCCAGAATGAGAGTTTTTCCAGACACCAAGTTTGAGCTTGAGACCAGTTTTAAGGAGTTATATCTCTTTAAAACGTTCATGATAGAAATTTGATTGATCTGATCAAGTTTATGCCAGTTAATGGGAAAATGTTGACAACCTGATCTGTCTTTTATGTGCTGTGAAATGTTTCAATATTACATCTATTTTGTCCCAATTGTGTACCTTCATCATTCGTGTTTCTACAAGTCCACTTGATGTAGTGGGATTTTACAGTTAAAAGTTATTTATAGAGGACATTCAAGGTGCAGAGAAAAGAAGCCTTTATACACAGGTGGCCTTTACATAAAGGTTCAATTAGTATGAATTGCATTACAGGGAACCAAAACAGGTGGTCTCTATAGACAAGTGGTCTTTATACTCAAATGTCTTTATACACAGGTGGTCTTTACTTAAATGTTCAATTAGTATGAATTGCATTACATAGGAAACCAAAATCAAGTGGTTGTGAAAGACAGGTTACCTTCAGTAGAAATTCAATAGGGAACAAAAAATGACATCTTTATAGACAGGTGGTCTTTGTATAAGGTGGTCTTTAAAACAAGTTTGACTAATGCATTGCCTAAATAGCAACTGTGAGATATAAAATATACTGAACTAATTAGTGGACATGTAATACCTCTTTTAATTACCTATTTGATGTATAATTTATATGTACTTCATTGATTTTAACATTTTCTGTACATATAACAGGTAAATACTGTATGATATAGTTAATTTCGCCATTAAACATATAAATACTGTAAAGTACCGTTAACTTCACCATTAAACATATAAACATTTTACAGTACAGTTAACTATGTCATATAACATATAAATACTGTACAGTACAGTTAACTTCACCATTAAACATATAAACATTTTACAGTACATAATATGTCATATAACATATAAACATTTTACAGTACAGTTAACTATGTCATATAACATATAAATACTGTACAGTACAGTTAACTTCACCATTAAACATATAAACATTTTACAGTACAGTTAACTATGTCATATAACATATAAATACTGTACAGTACAGTTAACTTCACCATTAAACATATAAACATTTTACAGTACAGTTAACTATGTCATATAACATATAAATACTGTACAGTACAGTTAACTTCACCATTAAACATATAAACATTTTACAGTACAGTTAACAGTATAACATATAAATACTGTACAGTACAGTTAACTTCAACATAAACATATAAACATTTTACAGTACAGTTAACTATGTCATATAACATATAAACATTTTACAGTACAGTTAACTATGTCATATAACATATAAATACTGTACAGTACAGTTAACTATGTCATATAACATATAAACATTTTACAGTACAGTTAACTATGTCATATAACATATAAACATTTTACAGTACAGTTAACTATGTCATATAACATATAAACATTTTACAGTACAGTTAACTATGTCATATAACATATAAATACTGTACAGTACAGTTAACTATGTCATATAACATATAAATACTGTACAGTACAGTTAACTTCACCATTAAACATATAAACATTTTACAGTACAGTTAACTATGTCATATAACATATGAATACTGTACATAACTTCTCCATTAAACATATAAATACTGTACAGCACAGTTAACTTCTCCATTAAACATATAAATACTGTACAGTACAGTTAACTATGTCATATAACATATAAATACTGTACAGTACAGTTAACTATGTCATATAACATATAAATATTTTACAGTACAGTTAACTATGTCATATAACATATAAACATTTTACAGTACAGTTAACTATGTCATATAACATATAAATACTGTACAGTACAGTTAACTTCTCCATTAAACATATAAATACTGTACAGTACAGTTAACTATGTCATATAACATATAAACATTTTACAGTACAGTTAACTATGTCATATAACATATAAACATTTTACAGTACAGTTAACTATGTCATATAACATATAAACATCTTACAGTACAGTTAACTATGTCATATAACATATAAACATTTTACAGTACAGTTAACTATGTCATATAACATATAAACATTTTACAGTACAGTTAACTATGTCATATAACATATAAATACTGTACAGTACAGTTAACTATGTCATATAACATATAAACATTTTACAGTACAGTTAACTATGTCATATAACATATAAATACTGTACATAGTTAAAATTAAACATATAAATTTACAGTACAGCCATTAACATATAAATACTGTACAGTACAGTTAACTTCTCCATTAAACATATAAATACTGTACAGTACAGTTAACTTCGCCATTAAACATATAAATACTGTACAGTACAGTTAACTTCTCCATTAAACATATAAATACTGTACAGTACAGTTAACTTCGCCATTAAACAAAAAATTCTGTACAGTACAGTTAACTGCCATGAAACAAATTGCACTTCACCCTGGGTAGATTTTACACTTTTTAATATTGGCTATCTTGTCTTTCTGTATTTTCCCACACTTGAAATGTACTTAGAGTGCATATTATCTTGTATCACATAATTTACAAGATAGGCCTGCAAATTGTTTTCTCACCAGTGTTGGCACATCACTTTGATTTACAACCCACGTCTACACATACTACATGTAAAACATCAACAAACCTAAGATAGCAGTTTTTTTGCTTTTTAAATTGATATAAGAATTTTCCTTTTAACATGAAGATGTCATCTATTTTCAGGTTTAGTACAGTATAGGTATATGGTTGTTGTAACAATTAAGAATGAATCACACAACCAGACTGTCATATATATCTGAATTTCTTGACCTGTTTCAACATAACATTATGTACATATCTTCATTCAAATAAGAGCCTTTTTAATTTCAGTTCGTCGGCATGTGAAATTAACATAATGCATGCAATACATTATGCTCTCTTAAGCTTGTTTATGGAATGAGATTACAGTATGCATGGATAAAATTTCTAATTTTACACTTCAACTATTCTGCACATATTGTTTAATTCACATATCTAAAGAAAATATTGCTTCCAATAAGTTTTTTTACAAATAGAAATGGGAATATTTTTACCAGTCTAACCTAATATAGTATCAATAGACAACCCCTTCAGTTTGGCATTGGAAATGGTGTTAATTTTTTATTTGATAGCTATCCAGAATGTAATGTGATATATCTTTTTATCTACCATGTTGTTTTTGACAGTGTTTCATTGTAGAATTGGCATAATATTATGGTCCTTATTCAGTACTCTGTGTACCATACTTAATATAATAAATGATTGCCACCCATATCAGTTATATACCAATGTACAACAACCATTTCTTGCACTGAGCATGCAGTCATATAATTCTTATGATAATTTGTAGTAGAAGTGGGCAGGAAAAAAAATCATTAATGCTACATTTCAAAGATATCTGAAGTATTTTAAAGAATTATTTAAATTTTCAAAAACTGGTAAGCAAGACAGCACTTACTGGATTAAATACAGTAAATTTAGTTCTAAGACATGCTGACCTACAAAAACAGATATTAATATAAATCAAGCTAAGTGTCCTTGACGATCTAATTAGATTTCCACCAGACCTGACCAATCTTAATTATTCAATGTCCATGAATAAAATAAAATATATGAGATACAGCCAATGCCAGTGGCCCAATTAAGGTAGTGTATGGTTGATTTGGGGCTGGACTTTAGTTGTTCTGGGGCTGGAGTCCCGGGTAACTGGACCATATCATGATAAAAGAAACATGATAATCATTTCAGCCTTTAAAATATTTGGTTTGATGATTGTGATTATTCAATACCTGAACATTGACAACTGTTGTGCCCAACTGTTTTTTAATATCTCTTTGTTTTTGTCTAAATTAATCTGAAATACCATGAATTTAAACTATTTCAGAGAATTTTGTTATCGTGATCCATCTATCTGAACCAGAGATTCATGATAACATCAGTCAGATAATTGCCAAACAAACAAATATCATTGTGATTGTAACAAAAATAAATACCTCGAGACAAGCTCCTAAATAGGAGATAGCAGATAAAAGATCAATTTGCCTGGTTTAAAACTGTGTCTTTTAAATGATTAATTCAGCAGAATATGAGGGCCAATTCAGATCACTAGTTCTATGGGCAGGTGCCTGCCAAGGTTATTAAATGTACATAATTATATGGTGAGGGAAGGTAAAAACATAATATACCAATTTTGAATGATTCTTCAATCCCAAAGCTCAAAATGGTCATATCATAATTAGGATCTTATTCTATGACAATTTCATTTCTTTGCAAATCTGATATAAAAACAGTTGTCATGCACATTATAGATATTACAATATAATGAAATATTCAAATAGTTACAAAATTATGTATATATACTTCAACATATCATTTTTTTCGGGAGTGTCAATGTAGTGAAAGTAAAATGGTCATGTAGTGAAAGTAAAATGGTCATAAGCAGCTGTAGATTAATTTCAAAGCTAATGCGATTTGGTGTCAAGGATTGTGAGCGATATTTTTGCAGGAGACCTGCAATATCTGAATTATCCACAATCTAAGAAACACTGTTTGCCCTTTACCCTATACAGGTTAACAGCAACCTAATTTTTGTAGACCCAGTTACTTACATCACTCTCCGTTACAACCTTGATGTCCTTCCCTGTTACAGAATTCCGCCGTTGCACTGTAAAATATAAATAAAACATTATGATACATTAAATCCAACAAATATCCTATATCAGAGTGAATCTCTAAAAAATTGCAAGAAACATTTTCATATATACATGTAAATAGGAATAAAATTTCATATTCATAACATATATTATCTTGACCATCTAATGTGTTCCTTATAGTATGATATGGATACACTAAAATGAAAAATAGTATTGATGCAAATACCAGTGGACTTTGTCTGAATATAAAAATATGCATGATGTACAAGTACATATTTAAATTTTTTTCTTAATCTGTGTCCCAGGACCCATGATACAAACAATGAAAAAAATGAAAATCAATGTTGATTGAATTATCACTGAATTGATCCATCCACCATTTGGTTTTATTCTTAAAACATTTTATCCTTTAACCCTCCATTTCTTCTTACATATTACAGTTTGTAGTGTTGCCCAAAATTACTCTAGCTCGCAGTCTAAATGCTGTTAAGATTGAGAAGGAGGGGGTGAGAGGAAGGCATCTGCAATAATGTACATTACTCAACCTGTTGAATATGTGTACATATGACAAAATTGAATCAATCAGTTATCTTACAGATAGGAAGGGAGATAATTCTGGTATCTTCTTTTCTTAGTTATCAATAATCCACCAGTATTCTATCAATCTGCATCCTTCCTGTATTTTAAGAAAATATGTCAGTAACCTGTCTATAAAACAGATCTTCACCTCTGATATATACAGGTGTAAATTAATCAGGCGATGAATGTCTTGTTAAAACCATTGCGTGGACTATATTTAGAATACTAATATTCATACAATTACGTCCCATTGTGATATAGCACCAGGTATGCTAAATGTTAAACCAGTCATTTTTTCACAGCTTAAAAGTAGACAGTTATTTTGTCAAAATGAATTTAAACTCAAGAATATCTTTAATCATTTAAGAAATCAATATTATGTGGCCCAATTTATGCAGTCTCATGCCATTGTAAAACTCAGGAAAAATATGGATATACTGACAATGATCAAAAATCCTTTTTCTGACAAATTGTGTCTGTCCTTCAGCAAAAAGCTTTGATTAATAGAACTTAAATGAACACTATTGATCCAAAAATATTTTTCTTTACAAATATCTAGTCCGTATTTCTAAATATCATAACATATGACCCCATTAAAAAGCTTACACAACTTAACTATGTGTGAGTATTTTCCACTTAAATATTTCAATTCAAGATATCTATGAAGACATAATCTTATTTCATACTGATTACAACAGTTTTTGTTTTTAGTTCAATAAAAGCAAAATCACCATTGACAAAAGAAATTGAATTGTCTCATAAAGCTAGACTAACGGGCATACTTATAGCGTATAGGTGCCTACCGCCTGTTAACGTTCATTTGGATATTGCGGTTCAGTCGTCGCGACTGCCTCAGGTAATTTACATACCTGTTCACTCGACCAGTTAATCGTATCGGAGAATATTTTCTAATACACAATGATAATGCCTTGGTCAGAAAGTTATATGGAAAGCTAAGGATACTATTATTGTAGGTATCGTGTAGACTATATATAACAAAACCGACATTTGGTGGCAGTACACTAGAAAAGAGTCCATAGACCGCTCATGTAGTAAGCACATGGCAGCTTAAGGCCATCTCCAACAGTTTAACACCATATGTTGAATGAAATATCTGCAGCTCATACATATATATCACAAAATAAAGTTGATGACATGTTCTTATTTTTAGGTGATGCATTGATCCCATACAACTTCAATACACTACAGGTCTCCGGCCATAATGGGGTAACTTATCTAGAGGTAGCACAGTCACACATATCCATGTTTCATTGACTTGTCATATCATGAGATCTTAAACTGAAGAGTTTTAAAAAATCTGACATGACATGTACACCCTACATCAGTTGTAAAATCTACTTCAGTCATGCATCGAGTTGTGTGACGGGGGTTACATATCACTCTGTATGGCAGCCAAAGTGTCTTAAATTAAACAAAATGCAGGTGCTACGACAACCTACCATAGACTGAGTTGAGGATTTCAAACTGGTCTCCAAATGATTATAAAGGGATAAGTAAACAAAGATATAGACCATCAGGTGATCAGGAGGATCTTGATGCCTCCCATTAAATGATCTTTGACTTAGTTTTCTCTTCTCTGCAAACTTACCTATTAATTTATAACAGTAATGAACAAATCATGTTTCAGGATCTAAAGTGTCCCCTGTACTTTATTATCTTGAATACAGCCATCAAATATATGGCATAAACAAAGAAAGCCAAATTACTGAACATGTTTACACCGTTTCAAGAAGATGCTATCAGGAGTTCTTGAGAAAAAAGGTTTACAATATTGACTGACAAACAGCTGACTCAGGATTAAAACAATTTGAAAACTCCACCATTTGATGAGAGTGGAATGAAAGATTCCAATCCACCATGACTTTAAGAAAAACATTTTTACTATTATTATGTCCTTACACACCTAAGAGAAAAAAGTTCTAATTTTGAAGATTAATTAATTATGATTCTAAAGATTTAAGCATCAGTTCAATACATGGCTGCTACAGTTGATATAACATTACAACATAAATGTCTACTCAAGCCATTTTCAGTTCATCATCACCAAATAACACAATGAATAGCCAGCCACCTTCCTTCTCCTGAACAGGAGTCTGGCATATCACCAGAATATACAACCAGGAAAACTCCTCTTACTTCCAGAAAACATGACATCATGTGCTGTGTTGATATACAAACATGTGTACATGTGAATATTATACATACAATAGGTCTATCTACAACACTTATTCAGTAGCAATTTCTGCAACATGTACAAAGTCAGTGTCAGCAAACTACACTGACTATGTATAAGTAATTATTCTTCTGGAATTCAAAGCCCATAAATCTAGTCAAAAAAAATCAAACAGATTTCTTGAATGTGAACTTTAAAATTTCAGCCTTTAAAAAGGAATTTAACTTTGGCAAAACTTCAAATACCAACAAGAAATCGCAACTACAAGGACATTTCAAGGTTGTGAAACATAGGCATGTTTACATTTGTCTGCATGTTAAAAGTTTGCAAAGGATCTTTTAAATATTCTGCTTACTTTTAAATTAAAGGACAATTCATGTTCCTGACACTGGACTGTAGATATGATAATTTGCTATATACCACTATCATTTTAACAGATTACTATTGTACCAAATATTAATATTAATCATTCGGTGTCATTAATCAATTAATTTTCCTCGTTGTTAAAACCTAAACCTTAAATAATGGTCTCACAACAATTGCAAAACAAAATATATGAATTTGTAAGGAATTTTGGGAGCAGGAGAACCTAGAGAAAAACCTTTGTGGTCACACAGTTGATCATGTGACACCCAAAACTTTTTTGTGTCCTTCATCATTTACCTGTATAATATAAACTGAATTTATAAATGTCAGCACAAAATTAATATAATTTCTATAGATTTTAAACCTTACAATAATACAATGTATCATGTCCCTACTAAATGTCAGAAAAGAATTTTTCCCTTTTTCATTGAATCCCATTCAGATCAGCGGAGTTAATATTCTACAGAACAGGAAAGATTTTGACTGCAAGGTACATCAGATTTAAAATACAAGGACATCAAAAACCTTTGCAGAACAAAATTTTATCAAACAAATACAGCTTATTTTGTAAGATTCAGAATAACACTATAACCGTAGAAATGTAACTTTTGATACAGCAAATCAATGTAAAAGCAGTCATTTGCTGTCAACACTTCACTTAAATTCAAATTAGAAATCAGCTGAATCAAAGGGATGATCAAATGAAATTATCAAAATGAAATACTTTTATCAACAAATACAATATCTTAATGATCCCATGAATTTAACAAAAATATACACATATTCTGTAAATACAATGTACAGGTGTGGTGCATACCGGGTACTATATAATACAGGTAAGCGGGTGTATCTACACCAAGCTTAAGGTGTACTTATACCGAACGTGTCTTAAAACACACTAACGATGACATCATACCTATATTCTGACTAACAGGACATAAATACTGTCACACTTTAGAACACAAACAAGCCTTGCAGATCCACTGAACCTACACATGTACACAATTTCTTTATTCTCTGTAAACCCAAATTTATATTGATAAGATCCGTTTAACCTGAACTTTTTCAAATCATACATTAGAAAAACCCTAAAGTATGACACATGACATATTACACCACTGGAAATAATTAAATCATATACCGCCCACACCTATACTTTTAAAACCACACAGGTTCTTATCCCAATACATAAATCACTCTGATTCAATACCTACATACATATCATATATGTCACCTACATACATATCATATATGTCACACCCAATGTGTGTTCTTTACTTTTTTACAAGTTTTTTCCAAATACTGTTGACAGAACTTCAGAGGCAGTCATTTTATAATTCACCTCCATTAAGAATCACCTATTCATGAATTAACTCCTTAATTAAATACCCATTAAACAACCTGTTTTACCTGTATTTTATTTCTTGAAATGTTGTTGGTATACATGTATGGCAGGGATTATATCAGAGATAAATTCTGCATCATTAATTTGAGAGTATTGGAGAAAGGAAAGATGGGTTTTGCCTTTATAACGTAGCACATTCAGAGAATTTCAATGAGATTTTCAGTAAAAAATATCTGTAAATTACAGTAAACATTTGAAGGCCAATCCTTTATTGAAACAGTCACTGCCCACAGATTGCACTAAAGTGATCCCTGACTCACAATCAAAATGTAAACATAAATACTTAGCTTGGAAGAGGACAGAAAATCAAAATCTTGTAGACCGTTTGATTTTTTATGATGTGAAGGCTGACTATCATGCAAGACAGATATAGAAATTTGAATGCTGCCTAATTTCCCAGTCAATTAGAGGTAAACAGAAGGCCGGGGACTGTGATAGGTCACAGCATCCCACTAGTACAACCTCAG